AAATCTATTTTCACTGCAGAAAGCCTATATAATCTGGTTTTACTCAGGAGAAGTACACCTTAAAGGAACCAGAGGGCAATGCAGTTCCTGCATCCCTGTTACTGCTCCAACCTGTGGCTGCAGATGTGGCAGTATCAGCTGACACTGGTGATTAAACACCTTTTACTCAGTCTTAAATTGCTAACACAATTTGCACCATCAGCTCCATTAAATACATATTCTTGCATTTAAGTTGTGTGTTTGCATCCACACGCGCTACGGTGTATTTGTCTGCACACCCACCACTTCCATTCCCTGCAAACCTTCTGGCCGATTCCAGTGGCATGTAAAGGGAGGACATCAGCTGCCTCAATGGGCTCATGTCTGTGTGCAGTCAGTGCCCCCATGTCAAGATCAGGCCCTGCAGGGTGAAACAACTCTCCTTCTCTGCAAACAGAGCTGAGGGCAAATATTGCCTACAGTATCTGCTGATGCTGGAACACTGGAATTACTTCTCAAATCTAACCTACAGTTGCTGAAGAATTCTTCTCCATCCTGTTTGGCTCATTTACAGTTCTTCCACTTTCTCCTTTATCTCTCCTTTCTTTGAGCCAACATTTACCTTTTTAACCCTTTTTCTTCCTCTGCTTCCTTTCCTCCTGCAATGCTCTGTGTAAGCAGAATATCACAGTGTCTGCTAGCAGCTGCATCTGTGTACAGCCTGTCCTGGTGACAGAAGCCAAATGCACCTTCCAAGTTCTTACAGCCAAAGCTCTGACTTTGCAAAAGCAACAGAACACCTCATCTGATTTAGCATTAGTGAAATTGTTTTCAAGGGTCTTGTTTTTATTCGATGCTCTCCCAGGGCAGTAACAAAGAAATCAGAACCATATTTGCATCAGTATTAGGGCGAAGAGTTGACAGCCACAAAAGAGGAGAGCAGTCCATGAAGTAGCCCATTTTCATTGACAAGACAGCAAGGAAATAATCTAGCTCAAAGCAAAAAAGTTTTCCGAACTTTTTTTTTTAACTGTATGACTGTGCTCAAACTAAGAGTTTAAAACAGCAAGGTAATTTTTTTTTAAATGCATGATTTAACTTAGTAGTGGGGGTTTTATTGTTACCAGGAATTTTGTATCTGTTTGCACAGGGATGAGCATATGGCAGAACATTCCTAGGGCATCATTGACATCTAGTGCCTACGGACTGCTGCAGTATAAAAAAGATTGAAAGACACAATGAAGAGATGAATCTCATAACAGCAGATAAATTCAGACTTTCACATTGTCTTGATATTGATAGTTGCTTACTGCTTTGGAAATCATATGTGGCAGAGCTGAATATGTGTGGATAGATCCACATACCCCTGAGTTTGAACATTTTTTTTTATATTTCTTTTGTTATTTACTTAACTTTCACATTTAAATTCTCCATATTTCTACTAGCAAGTGTTATGAGTAATAATGGCATCATAAGCTTAAGGCAGGTGCAAGAGCAGAATGTTGCACAGAATCAAAGCCAGCTGAGAAGAATTTGAAAGACCAAGTGTGTGGTGGTGAGTAGTGTAACTGCAAAGATGTGAGCAAGAAGGGAGAGCAATTAGCAAAGAATTTGGAAAATTGTGGAATCCTGACAGTGATGATGAACTCCAGGCCTAACCCATCTCCTGCTGAAGTCAGTGGAGAGGGGGTCAGGCTGTCTCTTCTAAGGAGAGAGGCAATGGTTCACTACACCTTCCTGCTGCTCATCAAGAGCTTCTGGAAGAGGTAGAAGGTCTCTGTAAAACCTGCCAGGACTTAAAATATTTGTACAGATCCATAGGGATATGTTCCATAGGGATATATGCCAAAAAAGTACTACCACAGTGCAATAGTAACATAAAACATAAAATGTAATAACAATTAATAATAGCCTTTTTTCTCAGTAAAGGTAGAGACAAAGATGCTGCATCTGCATTCAGACTTCTCCCAGCTGTTCATAATTCAGTTGTGGCACTACAATGCCTTATTATCTTCCGTTTCACTGGGACTTCTAGAGAAAAAATAGCAGATTCCTTGCTCCTGGGTTTGAGTTTGAGCTTCATTTTCTTGAACAGCTCTCAAATCTGAACAAGCTCCATCAGCCTGATTTCAGACCAGAGCCTTTTTACCAGGTACAGACATGCCATAGTTCCTTACTTCTATTAACCAGTGCAGTCCCACTGAAACTGGATTTTGCCATGAGATGTATTCCCATCCTGCTGCAAGTGAACGAAAGGTCTTGTGTGAGTCAAGCGGCGTACTGGCACAAAGACCACTGTCAGCCAGAGGATAAGTGGATCATCTCTTTCCCATATGAGAAGGAATTATTTCCACAACCTTGAGCTTTAGCTGGCCAGACTGACACGCACACATACAGTACGCTCCGTGGCAATTGAGTGCATACGTACAGCTCATGCTGCAGAAGTTTTATTTCTCAGAAAAGCTGTAAATCCTCAGCCACAAGATTGCAAGGCTGCAAAGCTTTAGGGCTTTCTGGGCACCCAGCAGCAATTCCAGCCCTTCCAGACATTAAGTCTATTCAATGTTTGATAACTAATTTTTCAACCCATGCCTTCTTCCTCCCCACTCTGTGCATTAACCGCTTACAGGAAACCAACAAACACTTTTTTGAATAAGCTGGGAAAGTCAAGTCCTCAGGTAGGTTCCATGCCTGGCTAAGTGCTTCCATGAAAACCCTGGCAATGAAATTTTTTTTTCTTCAAACCAGATAAGACTAGAGCAAGTTCAAATCAGCAAATTGGCTCTTCTCTTGTAATACACATGCAGAAAAACAAGGAGTCTGGTTTTCTAGGTGAAGAGATCCTGAAGACCCTAAGCCATCCTACTCCAGTGCTTGGAGCAGCACCAGTAGGATGTATCTGAACTCCATTTCATTGCGGCATCTCTCTGCCTTCCCCTGATTTGGAGGCTGTGCTGCTGGTTGATAAGTATGCACCACCCCTCCCTCCCTCAGGAAACTGCAAGCCACAGAATGAAAAATAATGCTGATCCCCAGAGGACCATTCCTCTCTGCAGAAATTTCTGACAAAATTGGTTACAGAAGTGTGTTACCCAAAGAAGGATATCCTCACATCTGTCCTCGTGCTCCCATGCCCACCTGCCCCAGCCAGCAGACACAGCTGGTGTGACTCCTGCAACTAACATGAGCCACTAGATTTATTTGTCATTTGTCTCTGTTGTTCTTGCTTTCAACATGGAAGATAGGAAAACAAGTGGTGCAAGGTCTGTCCTGCCCCTTAATTAATATTAATGAAATTAATTCCTGTCTGTCTTCTTACTTTCTTGAAAACTAAAGAGAACAGTTTAATATTCAGTGCAATTTTATTGGTTCTTTGAGGGTCCTTTATTTTTTTCCATTATGCTCATCTCTCCCACAGATTGATCCCTGACTTTTGCCACTGTAGACATTTATGTTGATTTATGACTATTTGGGGGAGCCCTTTTTACTTCAACACAAATGCTAATCCAAATGTAGGGTTCGCTTTTAAATTAAGGGCTGCACATGGCATCTTATTTATACAATATGTACTGGTGTCTGCTAAATGTTAAAAGCATTTCTATAGCACAGGTAATCATAGAATCATTATCACAAAATATTTGGGGTTGGGAAGGACCTTAAAGACCATCTAGCTCCAGCCCCTCTGCCATGGGCAGGGACACCTTCCACTAGACCAGGTTGATCAAAACCCAATCCAGCCTGCCTTGTACACTTTCACGAATGGGGCACCCACAACTTCTCTGGGCAACCTGTTCCAGTGCCTCAACACCCTCGCAGTAAAAAATTTCACCTAATATCTAATCTAAACCTACTCTATTTCAGTTTAAAGCCTTGTCCTATCACTACATGCCCTTGTAAAAAGTCCCTCTCCAGCTCTCCTGTATGCCCTTTTTAGGTACTTGGAAGGCCTGTGCTTCCAGGTTGCGGTGGCCAGGCTCTGGCAGCAAGGCTCTGGCTCTGGAGCCAAAAGACATCCAAGGTAGCTCCTTTGCCAAGGGTTATGTCTTGCAGCAGTGGTGGCACTTCATAATACAAATCCCTGGAAGCAAGAGGAAGCAAACCAGCAGAGTTACATGCAGTATGTCTGGGTTGAACTCACACTCAACCCCATATCCCTCCCATGGTCTTGTCACAAAGGAGCAGCAGGGTCCCTGGGGAGCCACTGTTCTCTCCCACTCCTCCCCTTGGTCCTCCGCTCTGGAAGACACCTAGCCTGTGGTTCATGGCCCATTGAAAACCCGCTGTGTCATTTCTGGGCCACAAAGGCTGGCCAGCCTATTCTAGTTGAAACGAAAGGGATTGTGGCTTTGGATCACAGGCTCCTGGTGTCTGAAAAGTTGCTTACTAATACTTTATTATTATAAAAAGATTTAATTCTTCAAATTTGAACACTGGGCTCCTTGCCTAATGTTCTTACATGTAACATCTAGCGTAACTCTTTGGTTAATTTCCAAACCCAACTCAGTATTGACAGTATTTGGTAATTTTCCATGTGTCACTAGTCTGAGAGAAAGGCTGTGTGTTTTGAATGGCTGGTGTTTCACAACGGGATTCAGGTATGGGCTGGATAAAGCCTGCCTCACCCTCAGCCGCTCTGCTCTTTGTTAGCCTAATTAAAGTTTACAGCAGTAACCTAGGGAATGAATTAAGAAACAAACCTCAACCAGTCTCACTTGTTCACTTGTGCAATGGAGTCCTTTAAAATTCACAGGGAAAATGTTAACATATAGTAGAGATGTAATTTTGTAAATGCGCCCCTGTGTCTCTCTGATTGCCTTTCTCAATGTGGTATTTTCCTCCAGGTACTTGGTTTCCCAGCTTCTGAAAGCACACGGTTGGATTCAGGGCAGGATTTTGGTAGGCTTTCAAAAGGACTGGAATATCAAATCATGTGGTGTATATAATCATGGGAAGTTCCTTTTCTCTAACCTTACAAGGCTTGAAAATTTTATGTTATACTTCATTGTGCAACACAAGAAAAGTACCTCAGGAACAGAAATGTCTTTTATTCCATTCCCCATGTATCTGATGCTTTATTCCCTCAGGCACTACTTGTTTGCCAAAGGATTGTTTAACCACTGTTTGACAATTTCCAAATGGGAAAGAAATGCTGGGTTTCATCCAAAGGAAGGGAGGAGCTTTACAAAGTTTTGTATTTAATCTTGGTTGAAAGTAAACAACTTTACCCTTTCAACATTAGTCATGCCTGTTGTATAAAGTATGGTGTAAAAGTGCTCAGCAAAGGAGCGCAACATTTTTCCATAACTTTGTAGTTATTAACATTTGCATAGGGGACTGAATCAGATCAAATAACTGTCTGGATGTAGTGTATGGGGGAGCTGGACATCACAGTGGGATAACTAGGTGGTGGGAGTAGTGGAAGAAGCAGCAGCACAGCTCCTTGCTGGAGCCAGGTAGCTGGAGCACCCATCAGTCCATACACTGTGACCACACATGCATGCCCGGTGTGGGCAGAGGTCTCTGCTGGCGGGTATTTCGCGAGGATTAACGTGCCTTTTAAAAAAGGAGGCAGGATGTACCGGGGGAGATGGGGAAACAGCCCCTGGCCCACCACACAAATTTTGCTGCCACAGGTATGGCTGTGCAGTCAGGCCTTTTGGTGGGAACAGAGCTTGCACAAGCTACCGCAACAAATCCCTCCTCTGAGCAAAAAACCACAACTGTTCTGAAAACAAATACTGTATCTCGGGGGGAGATCCCTTCTGCGGGTGGAAGAGGTGCCTGCCAGCAGCGCCAGCAAGCCCCAGGTGCAGAGGCGGTGCGAGGGCGACAGGAGGCAGGGGGCAATAGTCGGCGGCGCCCGGGGGAGGAGGAGCCCGGGGCTTCCGCCGGCGTGAGACCTGGGGAGAGCAGCGGGCAGCGCCCGAGCCGTGGCCTCACTACCTGGCCATCGCTGCCCTCCTTGGGGAGGAAGAGCAACGCCAGACCCTGCTGGAGCCGCCGCCAGAAGCCGGCAGGAGTGCCCGTCGAGTAGAGAGCAAGGCTCCGATCACCAGCTTCTCCCCGGCTCCAGCACACCGCTTTCTCTCTAACCGGCCACTTTGCAGGAGGATTAGTAAGAAAAAAAAAAAAGGCAAATTAGAGAATAAAAAGAATGACCTACTTTGAAACAAGAAAAAAAAATAGCGCTCTCTGTCAAGGTTTTGCTCCAATTGCCTGTGCGGCGTTGCATAACCAGATCGGGAGCTCCTGCCTGTGCCCGGCGAGGCCGGGAACCTGCCCCGGGGCAACGCGGTGCCGTGCCCCGCTCCGTCCCGGCTCCCGCCGCCGGGCCAGCGGGCACGGACAGGGCGCAGGGTCACCCCCCGGGCCGGGGCCGAGCAGGGGGACCGTGCCCAGCCCGCCGAGCAGAGCCGTGCTGGGGTCCCGCCGCATCGCCCCGGGAGCCGGCGGCCAGGCACCTGGACGCTTGCCCTGCCCGGCGGGGCCGGCGGCACTGCGGGGGCTCCCGGGCTCAGGTGCTGGACAGGCCGCCGGTGCAGAACGGGGATGTCGCTGCAGACATATATAAACGTGGGCACGCCGGGGTTTGCTCGCGGCGGCGGAGTGGAACCATCCTTGATGCGGGGCTGCCTTTTTGGTTGAGGTTTTTATTTTTTTTCCCTGCTTCCCCTTTCGTTCTCTTTCCAGCTTCTCCTTTTCTTGGATCCTCGCCTGTCTCCTCCCACAGAACGAGAGAGAGAGAAAAAAAAAGGTCACGTATGTTTGGAAAAATATGTAGGTCAGTGGAACATTCCCTGCACTTGTGCACAGGCAGCCGGGGCGGGAGAGCTCCTCCGCAGCCCTCTCGCTTCCCACCGCCCCAGCCCGACCCTCCCGGAGCCAACCGCGGGGAGGGGGGCGCCGAACGCCGGGGTCCCTTTCCCCCTCCCTGACCCATTTTGAGCACCAGCCTCGGGTCTGATCTCCCCCTCTGTCCACCCCCACCCTCCCGCTCCTTGCCGGAGAAGGGAGCGGCGAAAGGAACCGGCGCCGGCGATCGCTGCCGCCGGGGCCGCGACTGCGCCCATGGGCACGGGACGTGGGGCGCGCCCCCGCAGCGCCGCCGGCTGAGGGCGCGGGGCGGTGGCCCGGCGGCGGGGGCAGGCGAGGGGAGGCGGCGGCGGGCGGCGATGAAGGGCCGGCGGAGAGGATGCCCCCACCTCGCCCCCCGGGCTCCAACTTCGCGGAGAACTATCGGCCTCGCAGCCCCCGCCCCCGCCCTGCCTCTCCCGGCCGCGCGTCCAACTTAATGCCCCAGCGGGAGCCCCAGCCAGCAGCCCCCCCGCCCCCCGGCCTCCGCCTCCCCCCCCAGCAGCCCGGGTTCCCGGCGGCCTCCCGGTGCCGGCGGAGCCCCTGGCCCCGGCGCGCGTGGGTCCCGCGGCGCCCGGGGCGGCGGCAGCGCGGCATGCGGCGGCCCCGCGCACCATGAGACACGGCACCGGCGGCAGGCAGGAGGCGGGCAGCGTCCCCGGTTCCTCGTCGGCGAGGAAGAGTTTGCCGGCTTCCGAGGCCGGCCTCCTGCGCGGCTGGAGCAGGGGCGGCCGCTGCCGCAGCGGCACCGGCAGGCACCGGAAAAGCGGCGGCATCCAGCTCGGCGGCACCGGCACCAGTACCGGCGGCGATTCCCGCGCCCAGGTGGCCACCGCGGACAGCAGCAGCAGCAGCAGCAGCGGCGGCGGCGGCGGCGGCTGGGGCTTCCCCGCCGCGCTCCCGCAGCACCGGCACCCCAGGTAACGGCGGCCCTGTGGCCCTGACCCTCCCTCCGCCCCGCGGGGCGCCCACCCGCGACACTCGCCCCGGGCACCCACGCGGGATGCTCGCCCACGCGTGACCCCCCGCGGCGGCGGCCGGGGTCAGCTCCCCTCCGCTCCACGCACCGCGGCGGTGACGGACGCGCCCGGTGGTGCGGGGTGGCATCGTCTCTGCCACGGGAAAGTTTACGTTGGGAGCACAGTATGTGCGCCGTGTCTCTCCCGGCCGGGCTGGCGGGGTCCGGCCAGCTGGGCCCTTCCTTTTGGAAAAATAACTTACCCCCCCCCCCCCCCCCAGCTGTTCTTCTCCCTGTCTCATCTTGGTGTTGTTGGAGGTGTTCTTGACTTCGAGGGTTCATATAGGCTAGAGTGGAATAGGGTCTGCGATGCGATCGGGCAGTGATCAAACAAAACTTCCAGTAAGACCAGTGAGGTTTTTGAATGGGCGAAGGCTCCTGGTGGGAGCAGAGGCTGTGTCATGTGCTGGGAGAGCCTTGCTGCTGCAGCAGCTCTGAGCTGGGCTCCTGTGTGTTTCCTTCCGTGTATGCAAGGGGGTAAATATTAAATCCACGGCTGAACGGCTACACTTGGAGTCACTCAGAGTTGTGCTGTAGTGTTTTCCTTTATGGTCACTAGCCTGATTGGTCAATTAACAAGCACGCTCATCCAGAAACTTTACTCCGTAGTCCTTAACTGTCTACAGGATGGCAGCTTACTTTCACTCAAGTGACTCAGAAATAATTAGTGGTTATAAGCGTTGCAGCCAGCAGAGGAACTTGGATCTTTTCATGGCGCTAAATCTCCAGAAGGGCTGTAGGGATCCCTCAGGTGGGCACAGCTAACCTGAGCCTTCAGTTCAACAAGTGGCTGCCTCTTGAAGTGGAAAATTATATCTCTCTTACCCTGGTGTGAGATGTTAATGCGCCAAACTGTGGTTTTAGTTTTTTTCCTGGTACTAAATAATTAGCGTTCACAGTGTCCAGGCGTAGCCAGCTCATCCGCTGATCTGTATCTGATTCTGAGAGCTGTCAGCTGGTTGAGGGCCCAATCCTGCATACATTTCTATAGATGAATATAGACACATAGTTGCTCTGCAGAGATGGCCTGGGAGCAGGAATATTTGGAGAACATAATTGCCAAGCTGTGCACCATCTCACTGAACATGTGAAAATGGAGGGCTTTCCTGAAGCAGGTATGTGACAGTGGGGTGATTCCCCAAGCTGAAAGCACTTCTGTGCCCTGCTCCAAAGCCTAGAGACAGTAGGCTTGCCTAAAATTTCTTTCCCTCAGTAATAAAGGTGTTGCCTTGCATGTTGAACCCACAGACTATACTTTGCAGAATTATGATTTTTGCCCAAATCTCTACCCTGGAACATGCTAGAGCATTTGAAGGAGTTGTTATTTTATCATATGCAGGAACGTTGTCTGCTCTTAAAATTACCTTGTGCTTTCTAGTACAATGCTGTGCTATCAGGTGCTTATGCATTTGCTAAGCTTAAACCTAGGCTGACATTTTCCAGGTTGAGTACCTGCTGAAGACAAACTGTCTTTGGGAAGCTTCATTTGAAATGGTTCAGCTATTTCTGTGAACATGGTTAGAGGAAAGTGTATTCTTTGGCCATATATCTGATGAAGATAGTTCAGGTGTACATCATCCCGCATTAGGAGACCTTGATCTTTTCTGTGAATCTGCGTTCTTTGGCTATGTTGAGAAACGCTTTCATTGAGACTGTTGAATTCTTGTGGCTTCGTGTTTTGGAGCAAGGAAAAGATACTTGGCATGAGATCAGTCTTGTGATGGGGGTGTGCCTTATGTTTAGCCTCCAGAAGCTTCCAGAATTTTTCTTAGTTTTAATTTTGTCACAAGGCTCAGGTTGCATGCTCCTGGTAGAGGGGTTGTTGAGGGCTTGGCCATTGCACTCGCTGAAAATGCTCTCAGCATAAGGCATGCTGAACACCCAGCGTTGTTAGGAGCTGATCACTGCTTGTCTCCCTGGGAAGGATGAGAGCACTCCAGTTGGTGGCTGAAGGGCTGAGTGGACTTTCCCCCACAGTTATTCTTCCCAGATGTTGCTGCTACAGTGAACACCATAAGGAGGGAGCATTGAAGACTCTGTCTTTGGTGGCAGAGTGTGCGAGGGATGCCAAGGCAGGGTGGAAAAGGAAATTGCTTAGTTCACATGCATGGTGACAAGAAATTGTGGGACTAGAACTGAGAATAAGTATTGATGATGGAGACATGGAGAAATTGAAGATCAGAGACTTTGAATTAAGACAAAGGATTTGGTGGTGTCATAGATGACAAAGCTTGGGAACAAGGTGCAAGGAACTGTGGATAGAGGTGCTAAACCAAGAGGTGCTAAACCAAGGTGCTAGACCAAGAGAAGCAATGGTGGGAAGAAAAAAGTTGACACTTGTAGTGTACAGGGACGGGATATCTGAGCAAAAGCAGTGGTTTCCAGTCTTTCAGTGGTTGGGGCATGGTACTACTGCTTTTTCATCCTTCTCATCTTCGTCCCAATACTGCCTGCTGTGTTTTTCAGTACCTGCCTCTGCTTTGCCCTTCTCCTCGATTGGTAAATGTCATACTGATAAAAAAAACCAGTTAAATATACATCTTCTGTGCATTTAATTGCTTTTCTTTCTGTCTTAGATGAATTTAAGGAACTTCCATTTGTGTTTATAGTTTTGTTTTCAGGCTCTTAGGGCAGATGCACTTGGGTTGCAGATTTTGTAGAGGGATTATTATCTGTATAAAAAAAGTTTTTCTAGATTTGGCTTAACTTTCTGGTGATCACTGATCTTATTCAAACTTGTTATTGGAAAAGTAGACTAAGGTCATGCAAATATTTGTATTTTAGCTAGTTTAATTCAGTCAGAAATCAGCATCGTCTGATAGAATAATTTTATGAGTCTGACTACTGAAGTTTGAAAAGGAAACATCATGTAATAGCATTTAAGTAGAATGCATAGAGGCTGGTGGATTTGTAGTGATGCTTTTGGTATTGCACATTTTTTTGTGAGGGACTAAAGCCATTACTCTTTATTGTGATATGCTATGGGCCACAATATATATGCCAGTATATTGCCAGCTGAATTCAGAAATACAAGAGTTGCAGGGCAGAAAAGACAAGGGGGTGAAAAGGGATGTGATCGTGTAGGCTCATGTTCTGAATAAGGAGCTGAGAAAACTGCAGATGTGGTTCATTCTCCACTCCTTGCATTTATCTTGTGGTGGCTCAGGGATGTTGGCAGATTAGACTGAGGGATATGGAGGCACAGCTTTCTTGGCCTTGTACACATAAATTCGATGTACATTTTGGGGATAGAGGGGTAAGTACCATTTTCTGTGCTTCTCTTCCTGTGTTTCTTCCCCCTGAAGGCAAACCATGAAGCACAGCTCAGTCCAGCCAAAATGTTTTTAATTACACTTTGGTAAAGACATTTCTGTTCCTTTATCCAAGGACCATGGCAGAAATCAGCATTTCTTGCATGCTACCTGCCATATTTGGGAGGAATAGTCTTAGGCATCCCCAATGCTAAGTGTTTCAATCCTGCTTCAGTCTGAAAATTCACCTGTGACTTCAGAAAAATAAAACTCTCACAAAAGTTAGATAAGCTTAGACCTTTGTCACTAGAAAATAGTATTGCCACACACTGTACCCAGTACCCTGTCAGTACCTGCCAGCTCTTCCTTCTCCCCTCCTTTACCTACAAGCTTTCTGAGGCAATGCCATCTCTTTTTCCTGTGTCTGTGTGGTAGGTAGCATGCCTAGAGCTGCGAGATACTCCAAAATTGACCACGTTAAGTGGTGGGAACAGGGTGGTTATCTAACCTTCTCTTGCTTGGGCACAAGTTTGTGCAAAACAGCTAGTCTGCTACTGGCCTGATAATGACAGAAGGTGTTTTTCAGCTGTTTTACCACTGTTCTTAGGGAGCAAAGTGAAACAATGATATGGGAAAAAATCTAGAGGATGTGTATGTACGTTTGAGATCAGAATGGAAATTTGGAAGTTCAGGTATGAAACCTCTGTCATTCCAAAATACGCAAGAAGTGCTGGCATGACAGAGCATCATGTACTGGGACGTTTCAATCACCCTTTCTCTTTGAGTATCTTCATATGAGATAAATGTACTATGCATGTCACGCTGAAAATTAATGGGAAAAGTGCATCTGTAATCATAGAAATTAATTGCTGTAGGTCATGGTAGGTGCAGAAGCTTTGATAAAGTCTTCCACGGACAACTCGGAAAAAAAAATCAATGCAACGTGCAGATGTGAATTAAAAACCAAAGGGAAATAGAACATTAAGATTATTTTTAACAGGATGGAAAATAATAAAAAAGAATCCTCATTGTTTCACTGTAGAAGCTATGGTGTGCCCACATCTTCAGTATCTTGGGCTGTCGATTTCCCCGCCTCAAAGATGTATAATGGCGGGGGAGGAGGTTCAGAGGGATGTAACAAAGGTGATCAGAGGAACGGAGTAATTCCTGTCTGAGGACTGACAGCACTGATAAAGTGATGCAACAGAAATCTGTAAAATTAAGCAAAACATGGAGAAGGCAAACTGGGAATTACTGATCATGGCAACAGCAGCAGAAGGACTGGGTGCTGGCATGAACACAGAGGGAGATGGCTCTTCACATGGAGTGGTCAGACTGCTGAACTGCTCACCACAGGATGTGGATGCTGAGAGGTTACATCAGCTGATGAGGTGACTGGATGAGTTCATGGAAGAGAAATCCATCAAGGGCTATTAAACTTAAAACCACTGCCTCTGGCTTAGGAAGTTTTGAGCTGCACATTCTTAGAAGCTTGGTGAGTGTGCTGAAGAAATATCACCATTGTTTTGCCTTGTTCTTGTAACTCATTCCTCTGCACTTGGGTCTGGCCATGGCTTGAGAGAGGGTGCTAAGCCACGTGGTCTCCCAGTGTCTGCTCTGCAAAATGAAGTGGCCAAGCAAGTGGGGTCCCTCCTCGGCTCCTGAGGCCAAAAGGCTCCTGGTGGTTTGTACCTTCGCTGTTCAGGGCTGGCTCTGTTATGACACATCAGCCATGGAACAGGCTAGTGTGAGAAGCTAGGCGAAGTGCTCCAAA